TATTTTGAGTTGTGGCAGCATTGCTTGAAACCGATACAGTAGCTATTGGAAAATTCAGTTCAGTTTAAAATTCACTCACTATGTGGCACTAGTGGGAAATTTGAGTTCAAACAAGTTGCTTAACGTGACTTCTCGATTAAATAGAAGGTGTTGTAGGAATAGTTGTTCTAATTAAAGGTAATTATTGGAGGACGAACAACTCAGTATAGAATTCGCGTGCTAGTGTACCATTTTGCTGCAAGTTGCATAAGGCCTATTAGATGGTCAAGATCAATGTGCAATTTGCATTAAATTCCATATTTTAGCTTGACAGCACCTCCAGAAAGCAGATTTCTGTCTTCAGTGAAGTTATTCGGATGAACAAGACCTATCGCATGATTGAGCTCAGAATTCACTCACCATGCAGCGCTCGTGTCATTTGGTTCAAAAGGCTTGCTTAAGCAGTCTATATTTCAACTAGATAAGACGTTGCTGTCTTAAGTAAAGTTATTCAGATGGATAAGGCCTATTCTATACTGGACAGCTCAGATCAGAATTCTTATATCTTTCGGTGATTATGAACCATTTGATATCTGAATGCTTGCTTCAACTTGACTGCTCTGCTACATGGAAGGTTACAGTCTTTGGAAAAGTTATTCAGATGAATACATCAAATTCCAAATTTTATTGTTACGTTCCAACTGGAATTATGTGTATGTCTTCAACATTCATGTTATTTGCCGCTACTTGGGGAATAATGACTACACAAACACACATAATTTTCTTTTTGTGAATATCTCACGATATATGAAAGAAAAGACAACAAAATATAATGAATATTATGACAACTATAACTATAACTAGACCTATATGTTTCGGCATTATTACTTTATTCAATTTCCTTTCCATCGCTGAAAGCCCGCACCTTTCCCTTAAGACCCCTCATTATATTTTGTGCAATGGTGGAGCCGACCTTTTTGGTCACTATCATCCATTCTTTCTTCAACTCCAGCTCGTTCTTAATCACCTTGGACGATTTTCGAACTTTGGCCTTCATTATGGCCCAAAATCTTTCCACCGGACAAATCTCTGGTGAATTTGGGGGGTTGGCGGGTTTTGGTACAAAAACAACGTTATTGTACCTGTACCAATCCAACGTCGATCGCGCGTAATGGCATGATACCAGGTCCGGCCAAAATAATGTCTCGCCTCTGTGGGACCGCAGGAAGGGCAACAGACGCTTCTGGAGGCACTCGGTGCGGTAAATTTCGCTGTTGATGGTACCCATTGTGATGTACGGTTTACTCAGTTTACCACTTTGGCATATTCCAGAGCAAGTATTTTTTGGCGAATTTGTCCACTTTCTTCTTCCTTATGTCTTCCGGAACATCAAACCGTGATTTAGTAACGTAGAACTCCAGCCCCGGTATCTGCTTTGCGTCTGAATTGATGTAGGTTTCGTCATTTATAACCAAACACATCGGATTCGTTAACCACTCTCGATACAGCTTCCTTGCGCGGGATTTGGCCGCCGTTTTTTGTTGACCACGCTTGTTCGGTGCCTTCCGGACCTTGAATACACGAAGCCCATCTCGTTTCATGGTTTGCTGAACAAACCAGGAGGAACACTTTGCCTTCAGAGCCGCGTTGCGAATCGAAAGGTTCGGATTACGCTTGAAATAATCCAACACTTTCCAGGCCTTCGCAGGGTCAGCTGTCTTCGATTTTCTTCCACTTCCAGCCCGCCGCTCGGTCGTCTAGGACTCCTTAAACGATTTTACCACCCGAGACACAGTTGTATGGCTGATTCCCAGTTGTCTTCCGATCCATCTCATGGTCGCAGTCGGATTTTCCATGACAGCGGGCAAAATTCTCCGGCGATTTTCTTCTTGTTTCGATGACATCTCAATAACCACTGAAATTTTGCACATGTAAACAATTCACTCCAAACTAGTTATACCCAGATTTTCATCAATTTTTACCCACGGATAAAAAAGTTACACACGGATAAAAATGGTGAATTTTTTTTAGTACAAACCTTATGTGAATTTACCTATTCTATTGGGAGATTAATATGCTTAATAATTAATATGAAACAACCCAAGCAACACACAAAACCTCTTTTTATATAAGAATTTCAAAAGAATGTTATATAAATGTATTGTAAGTGATACAGAAAACCTCCGGTGTTTTTAAAGCGTTTTGTAAATGACTTCTTGCTACTTCCTAGATTTTTTCATCCTTCAAGCTGATATATTTTGTTTTACTTTGATCTTTAAAAGTTATATAATTGTTAATTTTACCACAATAAAACAAGAAAAGGTTCAACAATGGCATTACAATGATTGACATTTTCTTCATCATTTCTATATATTAATTCACCTGAAAAAGTTTAAATTTTAAAATCGGTAACACAAATTGGGTCGTCAACAATTTCCTAAGATTGTGAATGGCTTTATTTTTAAGTAAAAAATAATTGACCATTTAATTTTCCTACCCCCAACTCCCGGACGTGCAACACATTTAGCTACGGAAATACATGTTTCACAACCTGTTTCAAACCACCTGGCGTGTCGTGCAACAACACTTGCATATTCCACTGACCGACATGAGTAGCAGGGTACACTTCGGAATATCATATGTTTTTCCTCGGAACAAACGCACAAGTGTTGGTAGGACGCGAAACTAAACGGTTCCACGCACACCAGCACGCACTTCGCTCGGGAAAACTGTTGAATGTGCTTCCTTCCTGACTGCATTGCACCAAATTTTTCCCACACCAATCGGCACCTGCTTCTTCTACTAGCTATTGCTGACTACCTATAGTGTGCATGGAGGATGGGAAATCAAAACAAACTTGTTTTCGTCATGCTTGTTCTATTTATATTGCCGATTCCAAAGGACGGTTGGAACTTTGAACGTAACATTAGCAGTGATTGTTCGTAGTTTTAATCGAAGGTCGGATAAATTCGCTGTCGTGGTAATGAATAACAATCCCCGTGAAGGGAGGAATGGAACAGTTTCAAAATTAAACTGCTGCAGTATGTATAACAACCATTTGTATGTGCATGCGAAAATCTTTGCTAAGTGGATTACATTGGGGTGGTCATACAGTTTTAAGCTTGACGTTCGACAAATTTTCGATTGCTTTTCAAAGGGACTTATCTAGCGGTGCCGGTGGTGTAGTGCTAAGTGTGATTACTTCTCACCCCTGCAGGCCTGGATTAAATCCCAGTCGGCGCCGCCGGGATGTTCTGAGGCATAACATCTCTGAAGGGAAGTAAAGCCGTTGGTCCCCGGTTCATGAGTTGTGATGGGTCGATAGGTAGGGTCAAGGTGTGGGAGCTGCCTCCCTGGCGTCGGTAGCATTGGTGCTCAGCACGGAAAACAAGATCGACGGAAAACAAATCAAGGAAAAACAAAAGGGACGTATCTGCTTTTGTAAACAAAGACAAAACAAAACATCACTACTAGCTAACACGACCATCAGAAACATGTTTCCCCAACGATGATGTTGTTAGTTAGGGTGGGAGTGCTAAGCGTTTCGACAAATTGACGTTTAAATCTTTGTTTACATACGCAGATACGTCCCCTTGAAATAGTAATCGAGAAATGTTCTTAAAATCACTTTCTTGGAACATTCCACTGCATTCTATTGAGGAAAACGAATCATACATCAAGCCGAACAATGGATCAATGACATTGTCCTATGTATCATTGACAGATTTTCTTCGTCGGTTTTCTCGACATTTTTAACTTTTTTCAACACACAGTCCGATAAAAGAAGCTATTATCTAGCATCTAATATGGCAAACACAGCTAGAAATGAGTTAGTATCCAAGTTATTAGTCTCTGAAAGAAAAAATATTTCAAGAATAATATATCTTTTCAGTCCAAAACAATTATGATAAAAAAAAACGCGGAAGAAAATTTTGAAACTAGCCTCAAATGAAAGAGGAGCACCTAAGATTTCGTTTAATGGGTGTTTCTGTTCATTTATACTTAATAAAGTTGTTTTGCAAGATACACCGTGATTAACAAAAGAGAAAGTCGATGCAGAGAATCGATCAATGTTACTTATGACCTCTAGCCTTCAGAATCATAAGAGCCTAACTACGATGATCGATCCTCTTCATCGATTTTCCCTTTGGATTACTACAGTCATGACCCAAGCAGGAGAAAATAACTTATGAATACCAAATTTTAGATATGATAACATAATAACTAGCAACATAAATATGGTATTAACGTACCTGACATAAGAGGTAAAATACCAAAAATAATACCTCAAAAATGTTCTACGCATATCGAACTAATAATTAATATAACAACGCTTTTTATATGCCAGAATACCATATTCTGTAATTTGAAAGCCCTTGATACCCATTAACTATTTTAGGTGTTATTGTCAAAAAAAACTGGAAGATCACGTTTTAACTGAATAATATTAAAACAAGGCCTTATAACACAAGCAGTTCGAAATAAGGAATCATACCTAATTATGATACTCATATGTTATCGGTTAGTTATCAATTTCTCGATCATTGTCCAACGCAGTGCCGTAAAAGGTTGTATTCCCAAGCAGGAATGAATATATCGATGCCTTAAATTGGTATGGATGAGCATGACATAAGAGGTAAAATACCAAAAAAATAATGCCAAAAAAAATAAAAACCAATAAAAAAACGCATAGAAAAATGACAATCTCGCCAAGCTATTAAAAAAAGAGAAAATCGACGAATAGAATCGATCATCGCTGTTAGGCCCCTATGATTCTGAACGCTAGACCTAATCCATTGTTCGGCTTCATTTGTGAAATGGAAGATTTAAAAATGCAACATTACCATCTAGAACCACCCTCGTATGCCTCATAACGCCAAATGTACCCCTCTAATACTATAATTCCCAAAAAGCGTACACCAACCAGTTCGGTGCCGGCATTTCTCTCGCAGTTTGAAAAATCCACACTTCTACCGTTGCGACTGCCGGTGGCGATGGATATTTTCGTTATTTTTAGCTCTTTTCGCTCACAATTTTCCGAGCAGCGGTCCCGAACGGTCCGGTCCCGTAGTTAGCTAGGCGTTCGCGTGAAAATTTTCCTCTTTTTAACCCATAAATGACCTAGGAGATGTGATTTATCTGCCCTTTCGAACCAGCTGGCGTAATTGAGAATATTTTCAGTTGGAACGTGTGTGATGTAGTGATAAGCTTTCGAGAATTTGCAACGATGACAAACTGTTAAAACGTGTTGAAATGGAGTGAAAAGTTGAGATCCCGAACGAAAAGAAAAACGGAAAATCTGAGTCAAATGTGATACTGATCCCATATGAGTGTGCGAGTTTAAATATATTTGAAATCGTAAAACGGTGACTTTGAGACATCTGTGGTCGCACTTACGGTGACGTCAACGACCTGTGACGATACTTGACATCGCACGAAGAACATCTTAGGCATCGTAGATAATGGATACGAAGTCAGATGCACCGGTGGTGGCCCGTCGCCGAAGAAAGGCGGCTCGTCAACTTCGCGAATCCACTCCGGATCCATCACAGAGAGGGGCAGCCACAGACAATAGCCTGAGCCAAGCGTCGGACGATCAGAGTGGATCGGAGAGTAGGAGTACGGGCCGAAGCACGGTTGAATCGAGTCCCCGTGGATCGGTGAATAGTAAGAAGAGCTTCATCGAACGAGCAATGGAATACGGTAGTCATCGAAACAAGATCCTCAGCAGAAAAGACAAGAAGCTTACGGTTATGTCCGAGAGGAGCCGATCGGTACCACGCGACAGTGAGGATGTACCGAGCAGTCCGGAAATGTTTTCGCTTCTCCGTCGTGCCAAAAAGAGCTTGTCTTCATCGCGGTATGTTACGGTTATGCTGAGACATTGACTGTAGGAGACGACACGACGACGAGGACGATGATGATGATGATGATGACGACGGGGTGTGGGGGTACAATTTGAAGAATTTGACACGCGACTCGAGGAGACAGCTAGGTGACACGACCGGGTGAAACTAACACCCACTTTGTGTAGCTACATACGTAGAAAATTGTTGGCAACCCATCAAATGGGTTTCTCTTTTGTTTGTTGTAACGCCACTTGATTTAGCAATGGAAAATGGATCTTCAATAAAGCTCTTTCATTTATAATGAGCATTCGAGCAACCATACGTCTCCATTTTTATTAAGGCAATTTATGGAAGGAAATAAATATCTAGACAGGATAGTTTTAACAGGAAACTATGCATACGACCGGCATGTGAGTGCTTTGTTTTCTCAAATTCCTGAGTTCTGAATTTATTTGTTTTTTTAATTTTGAAATCCTGCAGAAATACAAATTTATGCTCGGTACAGTATGGTTACTATTTTAGCTACACACTTCTTGATTTGCAGTTACCATAATTGGAACCGTGCCAAAAATGGAATAATTTTCTAATGCCTCCGAATTATTTTGTTCAGATGCATGAAACAGTAAACTAATAACTTTTAATTACCGAAGCGGGGTTTCATTTCCTATCTTTAGTATATTTCATGCTAGCTATTCGAAACACAAGAATTTTTGAAAATTCGTTTCCAAATTAATAAGCTTGCAGGAGTAATTTATAATAAATGCTGTACTGCCTATGGTTTGTTTTATCAGCGAAAAATATGGCGATTTAAATAGAAGAACTGTAACTTAGTGTCTGGGCGATTTAATTTCATGATAGGACTGATATGCGATTACTGTACTTGAGCATGAGCATGATTGACCGCCCACGGTTGCTACTATGTTATTGCCAGATCCGCTGTAATTACACAAAGAACCAATAGACGATGCTTGGGTCTAGCAATCATCCTCAATGTGTAAAAACTGGTGATCTCGAACTAGGCAATACCAGCGCCGGCCGCGCCCGATCGCAGGTCACGAAAGGAATGGGTAGGAATGTGTTGACGTGACACTCGCTTTGATAGAAGCCGAGAAATCCTCTGCACTTCCACGAGGAATCACTAGGATGTTGGGTAAGAGGGTAGGGTTTGTAGCAGGGTTCGTTTTGGTAAACGATAAGCTGAATTGATGTTCTAACGATAGGGAGGGGTTACTATATAAATAAATAAAAGGAAATGATCGCACCCAAATAAACATTTGGAGCTGCACCAACAGCAACCGGCCTCTTCGTAGACTTTCTTCGACCCATCACAGGTAACACAGACGTCTGATATGCGATTACTGTACTTGATGGGACAAACTGACTTGATATTGTTTTACCATTTTTCATTATTAAAGACCGTAGTTGTATCACGTAATATGAAAGTAGCGACCAATTTATAGAGAATTGCGTTATTATTTTAAAATTGACGGAAACCCATATGGGACTGATATGCAATTATAGGCACTATAGATCTGGGTATAAAATATACGATAACATAAAACGAGGTCAAGTTAAACGCTTGAAGGTCTTGTTGAATGCTCCGGAGGATTAAAGATAATTGTCAGACAACTTAAAGATCTTCATAACAATCTAGAGGACTTATGGCTCATAAGAAGACCGAAACATCCTGGGTGCAATTTGAAACGATTCTCAGGCAAGACCATATTATGTATTTACCTTGATTGGTGAGTGATAATGGAAATCATTGGCAGCAAAGCTTTGTTCAGTGGCAATTAGTCAAGAATGCGTCGTCCAGAACAAATTCAGATTAGCCCCAAAAGCAGCGATCTAAAGACAAGTTTACATCACTAGTATGCTAAGAAGTCCTCGAATTAATTCCAGCAGACATAGCTCATCAAAAACTAAATTTTCAACTAATCAATAATTGTCTGAAACCACTGGAAATGGATCCTATTCTGATGGAGGAGGCTTATTGCCCAAGTAACCAACATACCCGCTTATCGCCCTTTTTGCAATATAAAGCTGATATACGACTGATATAAAGTTTGGAAGCCCTATATTAACCTTATATTGCAGAAAGGGCAATTAGCGTGCTATTAGCAAGCATGGTGGTTACTTGGGTGGATAGCGGAAGATAAAGTGTTTATTGGGTTGTACCTTTTGACTCTATAATCCTCGAGTCTGTAAAGTTACTTCGATTGAGCCTTATCAAATAAATCAATAAAAAAAATGAGCTAGCTATCGATTTTTTTAAATCTGTTATTATGCTATATCCTCTATTATCTATTTCATGAATGTTTTGAACAAGTTCATCAAACTAGCTCAGTGTTGACTCGGCTGTCGACAGAACGGGCCACTCTCGATGTGTTTCACGCCATCGTCAGTTTACTCTGTAGCAACCATTGTGTGGGCTTCCTGATTTTTCATTATCAGCAGTTCTTTCGGTCGATGCATCGTCGACATTGGAAAGCAACCATTTCGAGATGATTGTGTGAGTGATGACCATGTTTAACGTCCATTGCTACAATGGAAGCGCTCTGCCCCGTTAGCGATAATGCCATACAATGAAACCACTAGAAGTGGAACATATTCTGATGGAGGAGGCTTATTGGATAGCGGAAGGCAAAGTGTTTATTATGTTGTACCTTTTGACTCTAGTTTTACGATGTTTTTTACAGTGAACAAGTATCCTCGGCTCTATAAAGTTACTTCGATTGAGCCTTATCAAATAAATCAATAAACGAAACAAAAACAAAAAAAAAATAGAAATCGATTTGTTTTTAAATCTGTTACTATGCTCGAGATATACCTTTAAAGCTCGATCACTTAAGTTCAGTGGAACTGCTTCCTATCTACTCAGTTTCACTGGATATTGTGCTGAAATCGCCACAACTTACCCCAAAAGTCATACCGATTAGTCTTGAAACACTCACTAGATGTGGTTTGCAATCTTCCAAGATGTTATGCCTTCAGCAAAGTTTCTAGTTATAATGAGGATAATCTATTGATAGAAACAGATAGTTCAAAGCTCATCCGCATAGATGGCATCAAAATCGAACTTTTCACTCTGACATTTTAGAGACTTGACGTCTGGAGTAAAGTTGTTCATCTCTTTAAAATAAACAACTCTTTTGAAGATGTCAAAATTCCATAGTCTACTGTTTTCAAGCTATAGGGAAATCAAAGGTTTTTGTTTTGAACACCAAGCTTTGAAATACATAAAAAATTTGCATGTTCATAAACAGTCACATTTCAAGGTTAAATTACTAATTTTGATTCAAAATATTTTCTTTTATTTTGAAACGTTACCTGAAAACAAAAGCATGTGCTTGGATTGAGAGATATGTTGCGAAAATTACACTCAAGCAAATGTTCCTGCCTTCAGGTTTAGTTTCAAAATAACATAAATAATGTTGCAGAAAATTCTAGAAACACATAGGGGAAATTTCTCTAATGTTGGCCAATGGATCTAAGATTGGCCCCATCACTAAAAATCTGCTATTTATCAATTTTATCTAGATGAAAGCGTCATTGGGACGGTACTAATGGATATTTTTGGTCGCTATTGAAAATTTAGTCGATTGCTGAATTTATTTACGGGCCCAAATTAGGGGCATTTAGGCCGACATTAAATCCATTTCCCTTACCGTTCCATAGTTACTTTTGATGGCTATCATTTTGTTCTGGGTGACCATGCACTTTAAAAAAAATTGAAAATTTTAAAATTTTCAATTTTGGACCTTTTTTTTGTCTGTAAAGTAGTAAAACGTTGTTGAAAATATTTACAATGTTTTTCAAAATTTTGAGTTTGGATTTATTTTTCATATAAAGGTTTCAAACTTATTTTTGCAACAACTTTATTCGACGTTATTGAACGATCAATTTTGTCGAAGAAATTAACCCAACTAACATTGAAAGCTTTAAAGAGGTTTTATAGCATTCTACAAGTCGAAATCATGATCTACAGAGCCCTCATAAAACCAAAATTGTCAAATGCGAAGTCTCTAAAATGTGTCGCTCATAAGATATTTTTTTTGCTATAGTCGCTTTAACTATTATGCATGCTTGGAATACAAAGTTTTGGTCACTGCTCATTTGCTAATAAATTTGCACACAGTTGACGAAACATAGTTCTCTTTTACCCAGTAGATAGAATAGGATTTAAACTTGTTATAGATACGTAAATAAAAATAGATTTGAATTCTTATAATAGCCTGTATTTGTTTTTGCGTCGCAAAAATAAAATAAGAAATGCTCGCTACACATCTCGGACTTTACTTAAATGTAATAATTAATTGGTATTGATTTAAATGATAAGATTTACACTGCTGGACAGCTGTCATTGAAGTTATTCACAACATTACGTGCTGTTTGACTGTATATTTCAGGAGCATCATCTAATCGAATATACCACTATATTCACTATAGCTATAACCTTTTTTAGAGACATTCTTCGTCAAAGTTAGTCAATTCTTGAACTATCTTTATACATGATTAGTTGCATGGCAAGCAAAATTGAGGAATAGGAATGAAAACACAAAAAGGCAGGTTTTTTCACACTACTTTGCATACGAATTTTAAACGCAATGTGGAAATCCGAGTTAAAACCAATCGTCCCCAAATTTTGCACAGTTGTTTAGGGCCTTAAATGGAATTAAAAATAAAAACATTGTTCTGGGAAAAAAATCATTATGACCCACCCTAATGATCATTAATGGTTTGTTCGTAACAAAATTTTGCTATACCGCATGACTAGGTTTGGTTGAATTAAGAGACTGACCACTTCCTCCGGCGCCTCCTGAACCTGTTCCAAGGCCATTGGGTGGCCATTTCCATTATTCTCATGGAAGAGTGTCTGTTGAATTGTCTTTAAATTTCTGAAAATTTTGATATGCCGCATAACTAGTTTTTGTACATTCCAAGGACATAAGGTGGCCATTGTCACTATGTTGAATTGGCATTGCCTCTAAAACATGTTTATGAAGATCTT